GAAGCCACAATGGACGAGTGCAGAGTGGGAAAATGTTGCGGGGTGCAGACGTGTCCGGACGGACAGATGTCCGTCTATGCATTATTGTTTACGTTGTTATGGCACAAACTCATTCCTAAGTTTGAGGTACCAAACTAAGCATCGTCACTTTAACAGCAGTACAATCTTGCTCACTCACCAGTGATCATACCAACACCCATTCCATCCATTCAATTCAGAAAATTTCTATTCTAGACCAAACAAACGTGAGTGCGGGCTCACCAAATGTTAAATTAGCTTGTAGCATCCTTTGAGTAGACATCCTTTGAGTACCGACAGCCAAGTACCCCTCTTTGCTAGCGTATTAAAATTTGAGATCTGCCGGTGGACACTCGTTCCTTAAAATTTGCTGGTGGAACAATAAAATAATTTCCGGCTTTCGAGGAGAGAGAAGCCTCAAATGTCCATGCCAGAATGCGGTACGTGATCACCGGGCTTGAAATGTGGCATTTGACGGCTACATGGCGCGATTGGCTCATATAGGTGATTGGCAGCCATTCTGGACACAATCAGCTCCGGCGGATTCAAATCGAGGCCTTTGAGGAAAATGCCAATGGCAAAGGTGTGCACGGGAGATCGAAGCGAGCTTGCACTCGACTTTCTGCTCAAGTGGAAATCGTGATTGAATGACTATTGTACTAACTGTAACTACTGAGGAGTCCGTGCCGGGTCGCGCCACATGCAGGCCGTCAATGGCGCCTCAATACCTGTACACAGTCAGGAAGCCTGGTGGGCACGCCGCCCAGCGGCCAGCAGCCAGTTTTATATGGAGTGTGAGGAGATGATTTGTACCTTCATGCGGTTAACCTTCCACCGCCGGCTAATAGGACGCGGAGCTGCTCGGAGCAGAATAAGAAGAAAGAGAAAGAAAGGCAGGGGCAAATTTTTACCCTAATCTCTCTCCAACTTCTAGAAATGGCTTTATTCTTGGGATGTCATGCACGTAGAACAAGTTCAATCAAACATGTCCGACCAGCAAAGAAGAGCTTGACATGTCCATAAATCAAACCAAACCAAAAGGCTCGATGCCACTGGTTCCATCTGTCGGGTTCGAGTGTTAGAGGATCGATCTCTCTCCAGGCTCCCGTTCATTTCCTTGGTGCACGTTTTATTTGAGATTTACTGAAGCGAAGATTTTGCTCCACTGCTCTACTCGTGTGGTTCAGTTTTACCAGCATCTCCAACAATACTACCTATCTCCAATTTGAGTAGTGGGAATAAAAAAAAAAGAAAAGTTCCAGCAGACTACCTACTACACTTTATAGATTTGTTGGCTACACAAATCTCCCCTCCCGCTACCCATGTCTTTTGGCTCAAAGCAGACTATCTACATCTACATTGTATTGTGTAATTCTAAAAAAAAATCTTCTCCCACCCACGGGCCCCTCTCTCTCTCTCTTTGTGCTCGCCCGTGTGCTCGAGCGGCCCTCCCCGGTAGGGAGTCCCTCCCCGGCGGCCCTCCCCGACGGCACTTCAGCCCGGATCCGGCCATCCCCCAGCACGACAAGCCTCTAAGCGCGGCTGCGGAGGACCTCACGGCATGGAAGGCAGCGAGGGCGGCCCTGCCCGACGTGGCGACTTGCCCTGGCGGGCACGCGAGGTGCAGCGCAGGCGGCCTGCCCCGGCGGCACGGCTCCCCTGCCCGGTGTGGTCCTCCCGGCGGCGCGCCTTCCCTGCCTCGACGTGGTCCTCCCGGCGGCAGCCTACCGCGGCTGCGCGGCAACCTGCCCTGGCCCGTTGGCTGCCCACATCGCACCTTCGGTCACCTTCAGCTCCATCCATGGCAAGAAGAAGAACAAGAGAGAATCATTATCTGCTACGATAAGTTTGGATAGTTAGTTTTAGGTAGTATTGCTGGAGTTAGGGGCGGAGTTACAGGGTGGCATACCCTGCAATCCTACCAAGTATAGTAAGTATACTATATGTGCATTTGAAAAAAAATAAAAAAGGAACGTATGGCGAAATATTAGAATGGACGTTCTGCAACTCGTCTAGCAATTCCGAAGCCGGAAGTCCTTTCCAGCCCACGCGCGATAACGCACTGACACGTCCTCCGGCCACATAACAGTAGCTGCTGTACAAACTACAAATTCCACCGAGCAAGCACTGGTCCAATCCAGGCTCTAATGCCAATGCGACCAGCGATGGATACAATTAGATGCAGATCTGGAGCAACATTGGGACGGAGTCTCGCCGCCGTGATCGACCAATCTGCATAGGCGTCCAGGCCAGGCTGCGGCTGCGAGCACAGGAACATCGGGCCTGTTTGGTTTCACGGTATCGCATCGCGGGACCACGATAACGCCAACGCAGCGCGGAAGCTGCGTTCGCGATTTCGTCTCTTACAGTTCATTTCCCCGCGTATCGCGTTGTGGGCGGCCTGCGAACGTGCGTTCGACGCGAGCCGTTTGACGGGAATCTTTCGCTTCTGTAGGTCGTATCGCGCGTATATATAGGCGGAACTAAACAGGGCCATCTGCCAACTTAGATTTAATCCGTGCAACTACAATTTATTTATTTTTTTTGGTATTTTTTAATAATTATGAAGTTACGAAGAAAGTTGAGACATTGCATCTCTTTTTTAGAAGCACGATATAATCAAAACTTCATACCCCTAAATGAGTGTCGACGAAAAAAAGTCAGAAAAGTAATATTGTAAATCTCTTACTCTCTTCTACATCTAACGGTGTTTGAACTATTTATAGGATAAATTGTGTATGTTTTGAACTTGATCTTTGAAATTAAGACTTACCGTGTTATTTAGTACATATATATCGAATCATGTCGCAAATTGTATAATTCTTACCGAATTACTAAATGGTTTTACCGAATTATACATGAAATTTTTTTAAATGACATACCCTAAGGTAAAATCCTAAATCCGCAACTGACCGGAGTTGCACTACAACAAAAATAATTTTGCGAGGCACTATCCAAATAATAACCGAGGCTTTTATAAAATCCAACCGCCTCGATTAATGCTTGACGATTAACGGAGGTGGTCGTTTTATTTACCGAGGCACCAAAAAATGACCGCATCGCAAAATCAATTTATGGAGGCGGTCCTTTTATTTACTTAGGCAGTTGAAAAATGCCCGTCTTTGAAAATGGATTTACGGAGGCGGTCATCGTCAAAAAATGATTTATTTTCGAAGGCGGTCGTCCGTAAAACCATTTTTGGAGGCATCACACTATAAGGCCTGCCTCCGAAAATATTGGACCAGTTCGGAGCCCAGGCAAAGCCCATATCTATCCATGTATCAGGCATATATATAAAGTAAACTTAGGTTAACCTAGCTCCCACCTAGCCGCGCCCCTCCCACTCACAGCCTCGCCCCTCCCCTCCCCATCCCACCGCCCCCTCTCCCAGCCCGCGCTCCTCCCACTCCCATTTGCGCCCCTCCCCTCCCCATCCCGCCGCCGCTCTCCTAGCCCGGCGCCCCTCCCTAGCCCTTCCTCCACTCTCTCTCCCTCGTCGCACCTCCTCCGCGACGGTGCCCCTTCCCCCCTCTCTCTCTCTCTCCGGCGGGTGCCGGCTCGGTGCAAGTGGCGCGGGACGCAGCGGCGTGCGCGGCCCCAGGAGCACGGCGACGGCCGGGGCCTCGCGTGGGCGCCCGGTTGCGGTGTCCAGATGTGGCGGCGTGGCCCCTACGGTCGGATCCGGCGAGGAGGCGGCGGCGTTGTGCTCCACCACGGCGACAGCTCCCTCCCTTCCTCTCCCACGACGTGCTCCACCATGGGCATGCTGGAGGTGCCAGATCCGGCGGGGAGGAGGTCGGCCGCGCCCGGATCCGGTGCCAGACACGACGACAGCTGGCTCGATTGGGCTCGATAATGGGCTCTGATTGGGCTCGCTAGCTTTTTTAAAATTGATTAACAGAGGCGTGCAGCTTAGATGCCCGCGCAGAAATTATGCATTAAGATTCGCACAAAAGGATACGTGGACGGCCTGCAGTCAGTGCTGCACAGGAGTGGGCGCACAACACTGAGTGCAGAGAATTTTTTCCGGTACCCGCACGGGCACGGATTCTCCTGCCGCTATTTTTGTTTTGTTTTGATTTTGAAATAGCCATTCTCCTGCCGCTATGATTTATGAGAGTTTCTGTCCTTGTTCCGTGCGCCTCCGTCACCTCGCGTTGGTGACTGGTGAGCGGCAGCAGACGACGCGGAGGCACGCACTGCGCAGACGTTCATGTACTCTTTATTTTTTTATAGCAAATTGCACTACAGTCTGTTCAGCTAATAAAATACGTAGGGAGTAGAGTACTGTATATAAGAAATTCAGCTGTTCTACTCTTCACATGGGTTGACAGCAACTTAATATGTGGGAGGCACAGGCTTGCTCGATGGAGGAAATGGTAGATCAGGTCTAAGCAGAAGAGAAGAAAGAAAAAGAAAAACGAGGCGACGAACTGAAATGGAACCAAACAATTGATACCACCGGCGTTTCCTAGTATATATCCAAAGGCTCATCATCATAGGCCCGAGGGTTATATCCTTCTGGATGGCCCTCCTCCCATGCGGTCGTCTCTTCCTAGTTCACGAACACGTATGTATTCTGAATTTTGGGGATGTGGTGTTGGTGTGTGTATTAAGGGCTTCTGCCCGTGTCTTCTGCTACCTAATATAATGAAGCTTAGCTCTCCTGCTTTTTTCAAGGAAAAAAATCACAATCACAAACTGAAATCTGGGTCTGCTGCTGCTGCAACAATGCAAGGTGGTATGGACTGTGGTGCGGGCAAAGGCAACGGAACCTATTCGAAAATAATGAATTAACATCTGAATAGAAAAGTAACTCTGATAAAAACAAATGTTGGTAACCATCTAATCTCAGGTACGTTGAGACAAACAAAGGACAGACCAGTTCCAAAAACCAGATCAGACTGATTCATCACAGCAGTCTGTTAAATCCAAACCCACACCCCCCCCCACCACACACACACACACACACACAAAAAAGACTACACATGAACAGCCGGCCAAGTCACCTTCATAAAGATTGAGGCGAACTCGGTCTTTATTTGCTGACTGGCATATCCATCGTCCATCACTTTGAAGGAACGGCAATGTTCTTCAGAAAAATAAGACCCTGACCCTACCTTGAACTTCAAATCCAAACACCCGTATACCGTAACAGCAATCACATGCCTCCTTAAGACATGTGACTCACCAATCACACCATCAAAGAGCCGAATCTCCTCATCTAACCCACTGGTATAACAGCTGACACACAAATCGAAACTACTCTGCACTTCGGACACGATAACTTCCACTGTCGCATCCACCGCGCGGTGAACATACACGTCAGTCATGTCAACTGCACTATTATTTCCATGTATGCGACATGTGAGTGGTTCAAAGTAGGGGAGCAGTGGGTCCATGAGTGATGCACCATCAATCAGTTGTTGATCATCTTCTTCTCTATCTCCTGTCTTAATCCTCATGTCATATTCAATTAGAACGGTTTCATACAAATCAATCCCTCTCTTAGGGCCAGTCATTGGAATGAAGGAACCCTACAAAATTGTCATTGTTTAGTAGTTCTTCATTGCAAAGTAACAAATGTCAAAACCTAAATACATCCGCCATAGTAGCCCTTCCTTGTACAGTGAAACGAATTAAGTATTCTGAAATAATTGTAGGTACAGTATCGCACCTGGTCCACGGTGATGGGATCATCCCTGCTAATATTGACAATATAGTTAAGTAATGAATCCACATGATCACGCGCCGCAATGTATCCATATAATTCCACAGGGCCACCATCCACGGGAAGTTTAACCAACTTTAATGAGAAAACTTGCCACATGTTACATGGTCTATACAATGCTTCAGGGTTCTCAAATCCATTGTTGGATTCTTCCAAGGAAGCTTAAAAAAGGATACATGATAAGTTGGAATGGGGAACTAAAAATGGATAGGTATAATGAAAAGTAAGGAAGAAGAAAGTCCATTTTACTCACGGGAGTTATTGAGCTGTTTGGATAATCAGTTAAAAATATTTGGACGGAGTATTTATTTTCTGTTTGACTTAACTTCCCCCAACCCAATTATTTTATATGGCTGACACAATGCATCATATCCTACATCCCAAAATATTTACATAAATTTTCAAGACCATTTCTCACCTACCCGATGACTACATGGCTAGCATCCATGTAAGAACGTCAAAGGTTGATTCATGGCAAATATGGGGAGGATTGCATGATGTCAGCGACATAGTATAGGATAGCTTCTTCAGGGCTTAGTCCTATCTGTTGTAACGGCTTCTGTACCTGCTCTTTCTCTCCCACGAGGCCTAGTTTGTAGGATCGGCTGTTAGTGGGATGAGCTCCGGTTGATCTATATTAAACCTCTACTGAATGTAATGGAAGTGTGCGGTGTTTCTCCCAGTTCATCACACTTACATGGTATCAACCTTCTTTCGATCCTCTTGTCCTTCCGCTTTCTTGGCCATGGCGTGTCCCACTGGTTCGGTCTCCTCCGACAGCACCAACCCCTTCGCCGCGCCTGCCAAACCCATCCCTCCCCCGGCCTCATCGACATCCATAGCCACGTTCCGGTCATCCTCAACACGGATGAAGGGAACTTCCGCCAATGTAGATCCTTTTTCGACCTCACCTTCAAGAAGTTCGGCCTCGTCAACCACAACGACGGCATCATCGATGCGTCCGCCATGATCGACGACCCTAAGTGGCTGCAGGTGGATTCGTGCATCGCCTCGTGGCTCTACTCTACGGTGTCCAAGGACATTTGGAGTGATGTCTACAAGCCGTGCAGCTCCGTCTACACCTGGACTGCCATCACTGGCCAGTTCCTCAACAACAGTCTTCAGCGCGCATCTATGACCAACAGGAGTTCCACAGCTTGTTCCAGGGCGACAGGGTGACATGTCTGTTGGCAAATATTGCGGTCGTCTCAAGCGCTTCACCGACACCTTCTACGACTGCGATGCCGCCGTCTCCGACCCGGCGCTCGTCATCAACACTCTTCGTGGGCTGAACAATAAATCCAGTCAGGCCATCGTCGTGCTCTCCAACATGACGCCGTCGTCAGCATTCCACTACACCAAGTCGTACCTGCTGCAAGAAGAGCAACGCATCAAGCACTCCCTGCAGATGGAGGCCCAGATAGCTCTCCTTGCGGCCCATGACACCTCCACCGCCAAGTCTGCGCTGACCCCTACACCGCCACCTGCCAAACCCTACGGCCTCCGGTACTAGTGGTGGTGACCGCCGCAAGAAGCGCAAGGCGGCGGACAACCGTCAGCGCTAGTTCGCGCCTGGCGGCAACACCTCTGTCCCTGCTCTGCTTCCGTAGTGGGCCTCCCCCTACAACCCGTGGCAAGGGGTGGTTCAGGTGTGGCCACTCAACGCCTGGCACTCGAGTGTCCTCGCGCCCTAGCTCGGCGTCCATCCCCCTTCGACCCTGACGGCACTTGCCGCGCCGCCGCCACAACATGACGCGGGCTCCATGCCATCTAGTCTCTACTCCACGCTCAACGGCATGTCACTGAACAACTCCGCTGACAGCGCCAACGACTGGTTCCTAGATACAGGTGCATCTTCACACATGGCTTCCCACCCTAGTATACTCACCAACTGCTCTCCTTCCATTGTTCCTCGTTCGATCGGTATCGGCAATGGTGGTTTGTTGTCTGCGTCTTCCACAGGCCGCGCCTCTATCCCTACCTCTTCCACTCCTTTACATTTGAACAATGTCCTGATTGCTCCTCAGCTCAAGAATCTCATATTTGTTCGTGCTCTAACTCGAGATAATTTTGTGCCTGTTGAATTTGATCCTTAGGGTTTCTCCATCAAGGACCTTCGCACTAGGATGGCGCTCCTCCAATGTGATTCTTCCGGCAAGTTGTACCCTTTGCGCATTGATCGTGGCGATGCTTCTCCACGACCCTCGCAGGCGCTCCTCACATTGGCCAATGGTCCTCTCTGGCACTCACGGCTTGGTCACCCAGGTCATGATGCTCTTTTGCTTTTGTCTCGCACCGTCGGCTTTAGTTGCTCCAAGTCCAGTCACCACATGTGCCATACCTGTCGCCTTGTAAGCACATGTTGCTTCCGTTTAAGGAGTCCACAAATGTTTCATCTTTACCTTTTCAACTGTTACATTGTGATGTATGGACCTCCCAAATAATGAGCAACTCCGGCTACAAATTCTATCTTGTTATTCTTGACGATTTTTCTCACTATGTATGGACTTTCTCTTTGCGCCATAAGTCAGATGTCCTACCTACTCTCATTTCCTTTCATGCTTTTGTTGGCACCCAATTTCAGCACTCGATTCAGTGCTTTCAGACTAACAACGAGGAGTTTGACAACTCTGCGTCCCAAGCGTTCTTCGTCAAGCATGGCATCATGTTGCGCCTAACCTGCCCCTACACTTCCCAGCAAAATGGCTGCACCAAGCGCGTTCTGCGCACGCTCAATGATAACCTACGTGCCCTCATGTTCCAGGCCTCTCTCCTACTCTCGTTCTAGCCTGATGCGCTCGCCACGTCCACGTACCACCTTAACCGATGGCCATGTCGACCTCGTCAAAATTCCAGACCATTCAAGATCTTATTTGGTGCGACGCCAGACTATGCTCATCTACGCGTTTTTTGGTTGTCTCTCCTGTCCCAACACCGAAGCCACTGCACCACACAAACTAGCATCGCGCTCTGCTCGCTGCGTCTTCCTAGGGTATCCGATGGATCAACGTGGCTACAAGTGTTACAATCCGGAGACCAAACGCGTAATCATAACCCGTCACGTTTATTTCGACGAGTCCTATTTTCCCTTTATGTAGCTCTCTGATTAGGGTCGAGCAATGCAGCACGGTCCTCCCCATGCATCCGAGACTTGCTCCCGGTGCCTACGACGCGACGACCTCGCACTCCTCGGCCACGATAGTTGGTCCCTCAACCAACCGAGGCAGCGCCGATCCTGGGACCACCTCCTCCATTGTTGCCAGCACCCTCCCCACCAGCTACACTACTGTCATCGCCGGCACGTACTCTTACATCGATCACGGCGCCACATGGCTCAACACCGGCAACATCGCTGACGCTGGCTCCACCCTAGCAATAGCGCCGCGTTGACGGTCCTGCCACTAGCACCGACCACGACATAAGTGCACCCTCGGCACCCCATGGTCACCCGTGCACGCGACGGCTCCACGTACCAAATCCGAAGTACACACATGCGACCCTGACATGACATCTCCTCTGCCCTCCGTCCATGCATCTCTTCGCGAACCGGAGTGGCGTGCAACGATGCAGGATGAGTTCGATCCGCTGCAGGCTAACGGAACCTGGACTCTTGTTCCACGACCGTCGCATGTCAATGTGATCACCAGCAAATAGATCTTCAAGAACAAGCTCCATCCCGACGGATCCCTAGAACGACGCAAGGCACAGTGGATTGTGTGCGACTTCTCTCAACGACCGAGAGTTGATTTCCATTAGACCTTCTCCCCGGTGGTCAAGCTAACGTCCATCTGCATTGTGCTCCACCTTGCCACATCGCGCCGATGGCCAGTACACCAGCTCAACGTCAAAAACGCGTTCCTCCATGGTGACCTGGCGGAACAAGTCTATTGTCACCAGCCGGCTTTGTTAATGAGACTCAGCCAGACCATGTCTGCCTACTTGTCAAGTCTCTCTATGGACTCAAGCAGGCACCGCGAGCGTTGTTTCAGCAGCTGGGTGCGCACATATGATCCATTGGCTTTGTCCCAACCGACTTGGACCCGTCGCTGTTCGTCTACAAAAGCGGTGACGACCTGGCATATCTTCTCATCTATGTCAATGACATCATCTTGACGGCGTCAACCACACTGCTGCTGCAGTGCGTCAAGGAACTCTGTTGCGAGTTCGCCATTAAAGATCTTGGTGCACTTCGGTTCTTCCTTGGCGTCAAGGTTCATCGTGATGAAGATGGTTTCTTCCTCACGCAGGCCAGTACATGGAGGACATCCTTGATCGCACCGGCATGGCAAACTGCAAGCCTACTGCCACGCCGGTCGATGCCAAACAAAAGTTGTCAGCCCAGCGACGAACGCGACATTCTACCACAGCATCACGGGTACGCTCAAATATCTGACGCTGACACGTCCAAACATTGCCTATGCTACCAAACGGGCCTCTTTGTACTTGCACTCACCACGGGTTGCGCACTGGAACCTCGTCAAGAGGAACTTTGGTACCTCCACAGCACGATCGACAGTGGCATCGTCATCTCGGCATCGCCCTCCACCGACCTCAGAGCTTACTCCAATACTGATTGGGCAGGCTGCCCCGACACACGAAGATCGACATCGAGCTATTGTGTCTTCCTTGGCGACCCACTCATCTCATGGTCGTCTAAGGAGCAGCCGACGTGTCGCGTTCCAGCACCGAGGCTGAGTACTGAGCGGTAGCAAACGCAGCTGCTGAGTGTTGTTGGCTTCGCAATCTCCTGCGCGAGCTTCATGTCCATGTCGAGTAAGGCCATGGTGATCTAGTGCGACAATGTCTAGGCGGTGTATCTCTCTCCAGTACACCATCGCCGGACCAAGCACGTCGAGCTGGACATTCATTTTGTCAGGGAAAAGGTCGCCCTTGGTCAGTTCAGAGTCCTGCAAATACCGACTCAACACCAAATTGCTGCCCAAATTGCCGATGTTATGACCAAGGGTCTGGCAACGCCATTATTCCAAGACTTCAGAAACAGTACATGCATTCGATCAAGCCATACTCCGACTGAGGGGGGTGTTAGCAACATAGTATAGGATAGCTTCTTCATGGCTTAGTCCTATCTGTTGTAATGGCTTCTGTACCAACTCTCCCATGACGCCTAGTTTGTATGATCGGCTGTTTGTGGGATGAGCTC